CGGTGCTAAATTTGTGTGGGGGAAATACAGCATTTTAGACAGTTTTTACTTGCTTGAAAAAAAAAATTAAGTATATAGTTGAAAGCTGTCAACTAATAAATGCTGCTCGGGCCGATAAATATAATATATAGTAGTTAATATTTGGTTTATTTGGTTAATATTTCAAGATTGCTAGTGGTTTTGAACAATACTGTAAAATACTTTATTTTAGCTGGAATTAATTTTCGCTGAAAAGACGTAATGGGTGTTTTGTATGGAATTTTTATTTTCACAGATTTTTGACAAGTTGAATGTAAAATATAGGAAAAAAGGTATATTCGCTGGATTTTATTTTCACCGATTCATTCCTTCAGCGAAAATAGCGAAAATCAATTCCAAGCGAAAATAAAGTATTTTACAGTAGCTCATTATCGATAGTATAGGAGAATAAAATGCTATCAATATATAGCTATATAGATCTAAACATTTGTCTAGCTATTTTTAATAGTTCCTCAGGACAATGATTACCAATTATTATCTGCTATATATCTTAGTTGAAAGTTGAATTTTTCCATTTTTTTCTCATCTGTTATATCATGTTTGTTGTTGTTGTGCGTTTGATCTACGATTTCAATACTAATACATACTGTAAAATACTTTATTTTAGCTGGAATTAATTTTCGCTGGATTTTATTTTCACTGATTCATCATCTCATTAGAGAAAATAAAGTATTCTACAGTATGTGCTTTTACTCTATGTACATATAGAGATATTAAATTGCAAGCTTTCTCTTACCGTAGATAAAATGCAAACCAGATTTGCAAAATATCGTGGATTCTGTCAATCATGTCCAAAAAAACAACGGTGTTTCAGAAGCACACTACTGAAACTGTAAACATTAAATCAAAATTACACCACATGAGAATTGTGAAATTCAAAATGGATTCCAGAAATCACAACATTTTTCATTTCCATGGAGACAAGCTTGGGACTTGATGGCTACACATAATTTGCATAATGGACATTTCACTCAAGTTGAATCAGTGGAATATCAAGATTATGATTGTTGTAAATACTTTACTCCAATTTTTCATTTCCATGGAGACAGGCATGGGACGTGATAGCTACACATAATTTGCATAATGGACATTTCACTCAAGTTGAGTCTGTGGAAATCAAGATTGTGATTGTTGTAAATACTTTACTCCAATTTTGGCCTTCTCAATAAAACCCAGTGATCTAGCAGTAATTTGGGATCAGCAGCTGACTGACATCTGTTTTAGGCGATGATTCTTCTAGTCAATAGAACTGGTATCTGGAAAGTCATCACTGGTAATTAGCCTTGACTAGATCCCATTAACTTTCCCTGGCTGAAAATTACTTTTCGTGATTAACAATCTGTGTGGTGTCGGTATCCAGTCCTCCCTCGGGGTATTTCCATTAAACTTTTTAAATAAACAACCCTGACACTATATCTCTTTGATCAGCACCGACTACAACAAGTACACAGATATAAAGAAGCTACGATAAATTAAAAAAAAATGAATGAGATGCTCAGTGGGAATTTAGATGTTTCTCTGTACGTCTGGAAACAAAACTTCAGTGTGTGAGAATCTTCTGTCATGTGGATTTAGTCGGGTCTCCATTGTCATTGGCCAATTACATCACACGCATGACCGGTATCGTCTATAGCGCAAGTGTCAAAGCTGAAATTATTCGCTGTCGATATCGCCAAATAAAACATAAAGCCACTGCCTGGCAACTGGTTCTTATAGAAACTGGTAAAGCGAAAAATTGGTCTTTCACATTAAGCCTCTCTATTGTTGCATGCACAACTTGAGAATCTGCATCTCTCCTCCTCTTTTGGTGTTTGTTGATTGCATCATTTTTGCTTCAGGGAAACCTTGATTAATTCTCATCCAAGAATGTTTTCTTTTTTTTTGCCTCACTTGTGAGTAACAATGGAGTTTATAAGTAGAAGCTGGAGTGCATGTTAGAAACGAAACATTGCAATGTTATTTTGGTTTTGTATGTGTGTTCGTACTAAAGATGAGGTGACCATTATTTATCCAAGTGCGTGATGGGAAATACTCATCGATCGGGAAGCTAAGGAGGTACAGGCTCTCTCTTTGGAACTGGTTGCTATGACAACAATGCATTTTGAAAAATCATGATTTTAGGTTCAATCAAGATCTGACTTGATTTGACAGTGGTTAGCAGTGCTCACCGTGCAACAGATTGCGGTTTAGATCCCCCAAGCTGATTTCTCACTCGGCAGTAAATGCATACTGGTCACCTTACATGCTATTTTCTGTTAGTCAGAATTGCTTTTTATCGGTTGGGGGGACAGTATGAATTCTCATCCTCATGTGCTTCTTCATCCTCTGTGTACTATAAAAGACTTCCTGCATCATCATCATCATCATCATCATCATCTTCTGAATCAGTTGCTGATTTCTGCAAAATGAACAACTACATTCTTTGGAACCAACCACATTGAGAGCTATAGCTTGACTATACAGACAAAACTTCTCATTCTGTATTGAAATGGTTTTGATCTGCATCAAAAATAAAAAAAAAAAAATACTCCCAACATATGTTTTGAATTTCATGAATTTATTTGAAATTAAATTTGTTGATAATCTTTCCAGCTTTTCTAAACTTCAATCCATATTCCCGCAATGTTGTGCTTTTTCGATCATGTGTAAAAATTTGTTTATCACCAAAGACTGGTGGTTTGTTCATTGGTAATTGACAGCTCCATTGACTGGGGTTTACTGTCAATAAGGCCAACTTTTAACCCTATTTAGATTAGATCCATTAAATACCACTGCAGACGTAAAAACTTATCACCTGTTAGTTTTTGTGATTGTACCTCGTTCTTTGTTCGAGCTTGTGACCATATCTGAATAGTCCGCGAAGCGAACGCTGCGTAAATAAAAGTTATGTCTAGCTCTAAATCTTATTTGGAGGTCATTGGTATTAACAAAGCAACGCTGAGACAAAAAAAAAGTTTCTTTCACATTGCCATGCCGATAGAATGCAATTATCAACCGTATGGTTCAGTGAACATCTGTAGATGGAATATTCCATTGTAGCGATGGGAATGAAGGCATCCAATGTGTGGGGCTTATTGAACTTGGCAGCTTTTCTATTGATTCTGCATGCTGTAACCTTGTCAATCGAATAACAAACTGAAACATCAATTTTGTGGGGTTATCCTTTGACATTTGTCCTCAAGAGTTTACCGATTCCATCGAAAAGATTGAGATAATGAGTATAGATATTGAACATCAGTGTCATAGTGCTGCCCTATTATTATCCAATCAAAACAAACCCACTTTTAAAACATTAATGCATCTGTAAAGCTAGTTGTTAAAAATAATGTACGACATAATTGATTTCTGTGAATTATTGTCTGGATGCACCTCTATATTTCATTCTAGAGTTTGTAATTGGAGTCAAATTATACTCCTTTTTTTCTCCCTTTGACATCATTTCCTGTCTGCATGGATTATGGGATTACAAAAATAAATATGATGTCACTTCCTGTGATGAGGATGTATTTTGAAAATCACTACAATACCCCTCTACCTCCTGTTATATTATCTTATGGTCCTTATAAAAACTGAAGATATAACGTAGAAAACAATTTTTCTTCAATCAGATATTAATATGCTAAGATAAATTATCACTTTCAATTAAAAAATTAACTATTATTAAAAACATAGCTATATATAAAGGAAATAATACGTTTTTTTTTAATGTTTTTTTTTTAGAATTTTTCAACAGGCAGCTTGGAAAGTTAATTTGCATAGAAATCAATTTTTTTTTGTTTGTTCTCAAACTTTTGATAAATTTTCATCCACGTTTTTTTCCTTCTCATTTAAGTGCCGCCAAGGGAGCACTATATTGCTGGTTACAATGCTGGAGATGCGGTACCTGTCATCGAGGGACAGGTGTTCACATTGTCATGTCAAGCTGAAGACAGCTACCCGGTAACAAGGCTACGGTGGTTCAGGAACGGCCAAGAGATTGAAACTGGACTTACGACGAACAATGTACAATCAGAAGATGGCAAAGTGAGCGTAGTCAGTACGTGGACATACATTGCAACTCGAGCAAAGAACGATGACGGATCGACTATTCAGTGCGAAGCCAGCGGTGAATCTTTAAAGCTGTCCAGCACGGTGTTTGTAACACTAGATATATTATGTAAGTTAATGCTAGTCTCTTTTTTGTTAATAAGCATCTTTTTCAAAATGGTCGATAAACACGTTGAATACAATCATTTTTTTTTTGCCCAACATTTTGCACAATTTTTAGTATTTGAAAAAAATAATTTCTTTATTTATTTTGAACCAAATGGGCATTATTTTCAATTGTGTATCTCAGTCTTGCTCAGAATTTTTGAAAAAAATAAGTAACAAATTTTGTGTGAAGGTGACAGAATTTGCCGTTGGTTTTCAATGTGGAAGCCACCGTGGACATGTATTATGATGAACTGAAAACAATATTGGAACAGTTTTTGCCAAAATTGCTCCCATGAATATTTATAACATGTAATTTCTTCAGATTTTTGGTCAAGAAATTAGTAAAGCAATGTAGTTGCCCTGAAAAGTGAAAAATGAAAATGTGATTAAAATGTTAAAAAAATGAACAGCAAAATGATGTATATTTATAGATTTTGAATGATGTCTTTAATATAGACACACAGACTATTTGCAACAGATGATTAAAGCCGATAATGACATTGAATGAGATAATCTGCTACTGATTGCTTTAGATAAGTCGTCACGGATACCATTGGCAGCCATTTTTAAGTAAAATTGAATTTCACTTCTGTCTTCCGGCCAAATATAAGAGTTTGATTTGCCTTGCATAGTTCTTTGTTATCGACTGGTTTAAAATTTCATAGATTATACTTTGATTTTATTGAAAATAGTTTGTTAGAAGTAGTTTTATTAAAAAAAAACACCACAATATTGCTAAAATGATTTTTATGGAATATTCATTGGATCGATTCAGTCACATACACTCACCAGTGATGTTATGGCTATAATCACATGTTCTCAGGCTAAGTTACACCCCTTTGGATTCCAAAGTCAACTATTTTCCCCTTTCGCACAAATTTAACCATTTTTCTGAATTTTGTCAACTTTGATCAAAAACCTGTTGCTAAATTATTGGGAGTTTCTGTCAATTTGTACAATAATAATAAACTGAAAAAAATCAATAAAAATGTACCAAATATACTGTAAAATACTTTATTTTTAGCTGGAATTAATTTTGTTGAACGAACTCTTTGGGTGTTTTGTATGAAATTTATTTTCACTGATTTTTGACAAGTTGAATGTAAAATGTAGAAAAAAGTGTATATTCGTTGAATTTTATTTTCACTGAATCATTCCTTCACTGAAAATAGTGTAAATAAATTCCAACCAAAAATAAAATATTTTACAGTAGCCGTAGATTTTTCGCACGTAGGTGATTAAAGTAGGTTTTCGAAGCCAACAATATTTTATTTTCAGTGAACATGAGACTATAAAAATAAAATATCAGCGACAACTAAAACAACAAATGGTGGAATGTTTCTTCATGATCAATGGAATTGATGGCACTGTAGTGATTATCTGCATGTTCACAGTTAGGCTGAGAAAAAAAATATCTCTGTTTCGCACGCATCATTTTGAACTATGCGCCTCGGACGTATTTTCTCCTTTTAAAGCATTCCAAAATGCGCTTGTACTTGCACTTGTCTCAAATTCCGTCCATTTTAAATCGCCTCGCCGCCTCATTTTTAAATTTCCATAAAACGAGAAACAGAGAATTTTTTTTTCCTGGCCTTATCCCACCAGGGTAGCTGATATTCAAATACCAGGATTTCTATTGGTAGTCTACTCTGATAATGTGGTCCACTGGTTCCATTCAGCAAGACCTTGAATGGGGATAGTGCCTGGTCATCTGTAAAAAAAAAATACCATAACCTGGAAATGGAGTACCATATTTCCTCTATTAGGGCTTGTCGATCATTAAAACTAACGCATGGAAACACAAGTCATTCCTAACATTGTCTGTTGCTGTCGTATATTCCTATTAATTTTGAGTATTCATGGAGACTTTAAGCATTGTGTTAATGCAAAATTGTGAAATGTACAAACCCTTATACTAGTTCAGTTCCCATTTACATACTTTCGCGTACATATTCCAATTTGTATGTTACCTGTTTTTATCGTGTGTGCAATATTGTGTGCATGAATGAAATACGTTTCTTATGCGACAGTTTTTATGATCAAGGGCCCCCTAGTACATCGCTAATAAGAAAAGCACATTGTCAGAAAATGAAAATTCCCTGTCTAAAAAATGAAAATGAAAACTAGTCCGTAGCCTCAGACATTTTCTGGTGATTATTTGGATGTATTTTGTAAATTACGAGAAATTTTAAACCAAAAGTGAACAGCTATGAAGAAATTTAGCCAGTCAAATAAAATTTTGTACATATACCTGTCTAAAATTTGGAGTGCCTATCTGGAGACAAGATAGGTTATTGGGTTTTGAGTGCGATGCTCAGGTTGAAGATGAAGAAACATATGGGGTAATAATATTGTTTTACTATTCATTCTTACATAGATCCACCAACCGATATACAGATAACTGGAGACACGGCCGACTTCAAAGCTGGCATGCCTGCCATCGGAGTGGTATGTTCCAGCTCCGGAGGAAAACCTGGAGCCAGAGTCAGTTGGTGGAAAGGGACCACGGAAAAAGTGACCGGAACTTTAAATAATAATCGCCTCAATATCGCCATGACAGCCAGTGATAACGGCGAATCATACACGTGCGTTTCAAGTAATGATGCTAATATTGGAAACCCATTAAAAATAAATACAGCGCCGCTGAACGTTCTCTGTAAGTACAAGTTTTGAATGGTAAAAAATCATATAATTTTGCTATTCAATGAGGGCAGAAAATTATAACAATATCCTGATATGAAATTTTTGAAATCAATTTGCTTCAAACAGAATTCATAAACAAACAAACAAACAAACAAACAATCAATGATTAACAAAATGGTACTTTATAATTTTATTCATGTACCTAATAATTTCTCCTCAAAAAAACACAAAAAAACATGTTTTATTCATAAATGAAATTTATTTATTTATAATATTCATTGAATATTTAATCTTTGTTTTCAGTCTATATACAAAGTGATATGAATCTAACTGCCTAGGGTGTCCTAAAATCAGCCATTGCATGCAAAGTGATATAATCTAACTACTTAGGGGGCCCTAATCCATCCTACACAGTACTCCCCTTGGTTGCCAAATATCACCGGCATCAGCATGAGGATTATGTTGAATTTCTATAAAAACACGAAGAAGATTAACCTGATTTCATGAGTATTTCTTCATGAAATCCAACATTATTAATTTTTGTTCAAAATCGATGACAAGTGTCGGCACGTTTGTGCCTTAATGGACAGCAAACTTGAGTACCCAAAAGCGAAAGAACAGTGGGCGATTCAATGCACTTTTGAATAATTTAACCTAATATGTAGTATTAATCCAGTTTTTCTACATGGGTTCTTTAGAAATTTTATTTGCTGCAATACGATTTCTGGAAGCTCTCTCTCTTGCAAATCAATGATCTTTTTATAGTCTGTCAAGCAAGAAACTATTTTAAGACATTGCAACATTTTGTGCATTCTTGTGTATTTCTATAATCTTGTTAATTTTTGACCAACTGTTTTGGTTACTACTTTTGATCAAATTTTTTTTTTAAATATGGAAACAAAGCATGCAGGTTTTTTGAAGGGTGACATAAGTTCACTTTTTACAAATGATGTAAAATTTTAACTTTTTTTTTTTTTTCGATTATTTTAACTTTTAAATTGACAATTTTGATTATAGATTTCCTAAAACACAGCTCAAAATTGGCAAATTGCTAAAACTTATAAATTATGCAAAGATTGTTGTAACACAATGCCTATGACGTGAAATTTCAATTATTGCCGTAAGATATTTGTGACATTTTGTTGTCTTTAAGAGAAAGGGGAGTAGCTGCGGAATGAAAAATTGAGTGAGATCAAATAACTCCTGGTAAATTATTCATTGAATAATATTTTAACTTCACAAAATTTTAAAATTTTGTAAAATATTGTATTAGAGTACGCAATCAATAATTGTCAGAAATTTATAGAATTAATTTCATTCATTTTATATACTGTAAAATGACTAATTTTCACTGAGTTTAAATTTCGCTGATTTGCCATTTCAGGCATATTCAGTAGGTTTCAAATTCACAGGTTTTATCATTTAGATAATGTGTTCTATGCTAAATTTTACTTATTCACTGGGTTTTAATTTAGCGCATTTTCCAGTTAATGAAATAAGCAAAATTAAAACCCAGTGAATAATTAACCCCTTCACAGTAATGGGACAGAAGCTGCGTTTATTTCAGTAGAGTATAACCGGAATATATATCACCAGATCTGAGACGTCAACCGAACCGTAAATCATTTATACCAGTCCTGGTGTCTTATCATCAAAATTTATCAAAAAAATGAAACTTAATTAAACCGAACAGTGATGTTCTGGTTGAAATTCTTTTATAATGCGGAAACATAGCTGCAAAGAATATAAAATCATAAGTGACATTATCAATTGGGAACGAAGATATCGCCATTGTTGTTGTGTCGTTTATAAACCTCGCTTTACACATTTTGTTGAGTTCATCGTGCATTTGAGATTTGCTACATGATTTATATGACATTTACAAAATGCTAAATTTTTAATAAATCATAGTAACTTCTTTATTCCTTATCTTGTGTATAAATATGGAGAAAAGTATAATAAGCAGGCACATTGATAAATTGAAAATGATTAATTTAGAAATTTCTATAGTTTTACAAATTTAGCATCTTAATGCAGAATTTTGAAAGTTTTTGGCTTTATTGTGAAAACAAACTAGAATAAATATGGCTGTCTGTTGCCTGCACAAGTACATTTTACTATTTAGATGGGTTGTTGTTATGGAAACTGCCTACATTTTCCCCAAGAGAGAATATTTTGTGAATTTATGAAATCATGTGTTTCGCTAATTTCTGGAGGAGGCTGCTAGATTTAGAAAGTAGGAGCCCAACATGTGACAATTCTCTGTTGGTTGCGAGTCTTAAAAATACAAAGTAGCCGACTGAAAAAACCAACTAGACAGCTATTTAGCCAGTAGCCCGCTCTTGAAATCCCTGCAAAATCTTGTATTAGCGAACAAATTTGTTGGGGTTCATTGAAGAATCATCCGCAAATTGCAAAATATTGTGTCGCAAAAAATTAGCTGTTCACAATATACAAGACTGAAATTTGCATGCAAATATGAAAACAAGGGATCTAAATTTAGACTTTTAAACCAACATTTGGCACAAAACATTAGGATTAGTTTTTCAAACCTGTGGGCTGGATTAAAATGACGGAAAACTGAAAATCATTTTGGCATATATGTTTCTTGCATAACAGGAAAAATACATGTAATTGCTTCCAGTCAGTTCTGTGTTTTGGATGATATTATCATCTTTTAAGTAAATCTTAGAGCTATCAAGTCATTTGGGATAGTTCCTTACAGCGGAAATTAAATGTACATAGTATGTGTGTATTTGGCAAAACATCTTTTTCTGCCTCATAAAAGCACTTGAAAATCTGCGCAATTTTAGGTACGTCTATTTCAAAGACTGTAGATTTAAATCATGTAATCAGAAGGCCTGTCTGAAGTTGGCCGTCTTGTGTTTCCATTCTCGCAAGATGGAGGGCACATCACTTTTCTTTCTCAGCATGTGTAGATAGTCTTTTGCCATTGTTACAATTGCGACTTAACAACTAACTGACGTGTTTCGGTCTTTCTTTTCCCCATCATGTTTTGGACCTTTTTTTTTATCTCCAGGGAGATCGTGAGGGGAATTACATTACTTACATTCTGTAAATCTTTTATAAAATTTGGTATTTACAAGTATTTACGATTTCATCCGGGTTTACGCCGTCATACATGTTTACGTCATAAACGACTTTGGTGTTTGGGAGGATTTACTCTTTTAGTTGAGACAATCTCTCCTCCAAGCCTTTCCTGTTCCGCTAACATGAACTGATGTTTCATTGCAAAGCTTAATTGTTGAGTTGTAATGACCCCAGGGGGTGGGGATTAAAGGCAACAGAAGATAAAATCGTGGGGAAAGACGTTGACAAACACAAAATATTTGCTGTCTTTGAGTAGTAGCATTTCTTTCTCCATTTCCTTGTGAAGAGCGTTCAAACTTGATGTAAACATTTATGTTTTACAAACATTGTATATGTCACATCACACTTATTGATGACCACCGCAACTTTTGTTGCAACCAAAGTTCATCATTCCTTCACAATTTACCCACAATTCACTGTTTTCACACTTTATCCACAATTAATCTTTGTATGAAGTTATCCATGACTCATAGCTGTGATAAATACATCCACAATGCAATATTTCAGTCGTCGTGTAAGATTTCATCACATTGCCTCGCTCAGTCATATTTTACCCACAATTCACTGTTCTGACAACAATGCATCAGTAGGCATATTAATCTAACTCCTCGTCTGGCATATACTTTACTGACATTATCTCTTCTGAACAAAAAAAAAACACAAGAGATGTGCGCGTCATATGTGGCATCGCAAACGAGGATTACTTTTAGCATTGTCATTGGCTCATTGTTGTCACAGCCACACATGTGGGGTGCTCCCTTTTGTTTCTGAATAATCTCAGATGGATGGGTGTCAGTCAGCTTTGATAAAACTTGTATGATCCCCAGTAATCTACATATCAAAACAAACTCACTGAGGGAATCATCCTGTGTCAGTTCACAAGGTCTATTTACATAATGCATCACACTGCAGGATTACAGGAAAGCGGGGGAGGGTGGTTATTTGTTTGTTTTCTCGTAACAGCTTGAAGTAAATCTTTATGGGTTTGATTAGCAAATGTATTCCAAGATGCCATTACGATGTCGGGGTTAGTCGCTATCCCCTTTCATTGCTGCTTTGTACTAGACAAGCAAAATTTCCAAAAATCACATCAGATGTTTTCATGGTCTGATTTTGATTCGGATCAAATTATAAAATTAATTTCATTATTGTCGTCAGGGTTGTCGAAATGAAAGATAGCAGTTTTGAGTCTGTAACCAATTTTTTGATTATTTATGGTTATTTTGTAATTCACCGATTTTCAATCGAAATTGGACAGATTGTAAAAAAATTTGTCTGTCAAATGACATTTTGTTCCTGTAAACAATATGTTGGGTAAAAGCCTGACTGTCATTATTGTGTAGATTTTTTGTTTTAGTTTTTTAGCGTATATTTAATTGGTCTTATTTTGATCCAACTTATTGGAAATGTCAGGAAATGGATTCCGTTTTTACGGCGAGGCTATACTCCCATCTGATTTGTTAAAGTTTGTGTATGTTTATATGATTTCTTCGATGCTTACAAGATTTTGTTACTACGGTAATTTATGTTTTGCGACATCATTCTGGATAATTAGATGTTGAAAAGATAATTGATTGTAAAACAGTAATAGCTACATTATTTTAAATTCCCAATTTATCATAATAATTATCATGTTTTTGTTTTTTGATAACTGTATATCGCAATTGTTAAAAGAAGAAAAAAACATTTACATAAAAATGAAAGAAGAAAATGTTTTGTATATGTAGGTGTTCGCTTTTAGGCCATTTTTTTTTAGTTTATTTGTTGTAAGCTTACCTGAAAAAAGAACAGCAATACAGAAATTTTCTAAAAAGCTGGTCATAGAATACAATGCACCTCCAGCAGCTGGCATCCACAGTTTGGTCCGGGTTTTAGGCGGGATCGGTTTTGATTTTAACTAAT